CCATGTGTGGCTACTAGGTTGGCAAAACGCGTGTCCAGCATCTGAGGGATGGTGTCGAACACATCGGTCACCGTTCTCATCAGCTGTTGCACCGACTTCTCCAAGTCTTCAAGCCGTTCTTCGTCAGGGGTGTAGAACCTCTCATCGGAGTCTCTCTCTCTCCGTCGTGGCTCTTCCTCCAGCGCCCACATCTCCTCGTCCTGACGAGATGCCCGTCCCGATCGCCTGGATTCCTTTTCTGGATACATTCCCCTCTCGAACAGGCTTTCTCGGAGTGCGCTGCCTCGATGGGAAAATGTTTCCCTCGTCCCTTTTGCATCAAAACGGGACCAGTCATACTTCTCTCCTTCATCTGGGCCCCACTTCCCTGGGGTAGGTGGCGGCCACTGGAGATAGTCCAATCGGGGAATCGCTCCCCCGCTCGCTCCTACCAGTCCCGAGCTAGTCACCGGTACTTCGGCAGCCGTGGTGACTAACGGAGCGGTCGACACCGGAGATGCCTCCGTAGTTGTTGGGTTCCCCTCAGTCCCACTCATGACGGCTGTCAGACTTGGGACGATAGAGAAAGGGGATTCCTAACAAAATGTTGGGTCCCAAGCATAAAAAACAACTCCACGTTGCAAAGCAAGTAAGGTTTATTTCAAAGCGTTGGTGTAACCAGAACAGGACATTGTTAGGAATAACTACAGGTAACCAGGGAAGGCATAATAAAGACATTTGAACCAGGGAAGGACCAATGGGTCCAATTCCCGCTGGCGGGAATAGACCATACAGTTCGCGCCCAATGCATGGGAACGCAACCGTTCTGAAATGTCAACACAGGTTCAGTTCACATGCAAGATACCCAAAACATTCTAGGCAAAGCTCTCCCCCTACACCCAGCTGCACGACCTTGGCAAGTTCCGCGGACTACATAACATAACATACTGAAGAAACAAGGAAAGAGAGGGAGGGCTGAAGGGAACTACACAGGAACCGGAATGACAATGGCAGCTAGCTGACACCCTGGTGGATCATACCTGGGGTCCATCTAGTTTAGCATTTTTGTGTGCAACAGTGGCCAGTCTGAGGCTTTGAATTTGTATAATTTCATTTTGAAGGGGGACTCAATAGTCACAAAAGAATATGCATGCACAGCTGTCCCCCTTCATCGATTAGAAAAAGGAAGCCTGCCCATTCTTTACTTTATTGTTCTTCTCTCTTGGTTCGTTCACAAATGTTAGGATGTGTTAAGCATTGCACATTGAGACTGCAATCCTGTGTTAAGTTAGCACACTCCCTCTGTATAGGATTAAAGGTAATGGTAAAGGTTCCCTTGCTCGAAAGCCAGTCGAATCCGACTCTAGGGTTGCGGTGCTCATCTCCGTTTCAAAGCCGAAGAGCCAGCGCTGTCCGAAGACGTTTCCGTGGTCATGTGGCCGGCATGACTAAACACCAAGGTGCACGGAACGCTGTTCCCTTCCCACCGCAAATGACCAGAACGGAATGTAGAATAGTGTCACTGATCTGACATTTTCAAACTGGTCAATTTGAATCATTCCAACTTGTTTATACCTTTCTCCTGTACCTTTTCGTTCCTTAGTTTCTTGGATATAATATGGGAGAGAACCCCATTCAAGTGACAGGGACTACTCAGTATCTCTTCCCTACGGATGGAGGGCAGATCCAGGTGGAAAAGATATCGTTTGTAAAAGGTGATTCTTCTACACTTTCACGCGTTGTGTGATAGGTGGGCAATGTGCAGTGAAAATCAGTGTTGATGATACAAAGTGCTTCACAGTTTAAGTAATGCTTTCTGAAAATAATTGGTGAGCCAGTGTGGCGTACCTGCTGAGCTGCAGTCCCATAGCCAGGATATTGTGGCTTGTGGGGCAAACATTTTTCTAGTGGGGCTGATGAGGCTGCCGTTATTTTTATGTCAGCTCCAATCTGCCCCCAAGCCCAACTGCCACCCCTCTCCTTCCCCTCCTGCAAGATTTAAAGGGCCCTTCAGCTGATTGGTGGGGAGCACGTGGTCCGCTGATCAGCTGGAGGGCCCTTTAAACCAGAGGTGTCAAACATGTGGCCCGGGGGCCGGATCAGGCCCCCGGAGGGCTTCTGTCGGGCCCGCAGTGGAACTGGCTGTCTTCTGCTTCTTCTTCCAGTTCTGCTCCTGTTGCGTCATCTTAGGTCTGCAGCTTACAGATACACACCTGAACAGCATACTCAAATTGCAACAGCACAGATATTTTGATGCAATAATTCAGAGCAAGAAGTGTCAGTTAGCAGACACCGTTATATAAACAAAATATTGCAAGAGTGCTAAAAATCTTCTTTATGGAAAACCCAAAAAGTGTTTAAAATTTACAGGGGGTTAATGCACCCTCACCCCACCCAGATAACTGGGAATGTCTGCATGTGTACAGAGAGAGATGTTAAAAGCTGTGAAAACGGGTGGAGGGAAGTAAGGTTTGGCTGCTGGGGAGAGGAAAGTATGGAAGGGGAGGGGGAACCATGGGACAGAAGGGATGGGGGAGGGAAAACTGTGAGGTGGGAGGATGGAGCAGAGGGAACCATACATGGGGGGGGGGGACCCGTGCAGGTCTGGGCCGGGGACAGAACAATGGGGGGGGGAAGCCAGAAGCAGTGGGGGTGGGGGGAGTTCCCCTTCCCCACCAGTCTTCACAGATCCCATGCATGTACTATACAATCTTATACTGTGGATATTTTCATGCCAATAAGGGTTTTGTGTTTCCTTTGCTTTACTGTGGATATTTTGCTCCATGTTTTGATCAGCTAATTAGAGAAAGGAATGTGGAACAGGTAGCTGCAGCCTGCCTATGAATCTATCCATTCGCAAACTGATTTCCTCAATATATGCTAAAGCAACTAGTAAAGGTAAAGGTTCCCATGCTCGAAAGCCAGTCGAGTCCGACTCTAGGGTTGCGGGGCTCATCTCCGTTTCAAAGCCGAAGAGCCAGCGCTGTCCGAAGACGTTTCCATGGTCATGTGGCCGGCATGACTAAACACCAAGGCGCATGGAACGCTGTTACCTTCCCACCGAAGTGGTACCTATTTATCTACTTGCAAGTTCTTGCTTTCGAACTGCTAGGTTGGCAGGAGGCTAAAGCAACTAGTAGTGTTTTATTTCTGTTCCGTGAATTTCGCACAAGTTTTGGCAACCCTTCTGAGGATGGCTCCCCCCCCCCCCCCTT